GCACTCCTTGAGCATAAAGCGTGCTTAGGTTACAACGCGGGACTCGAGTTGCTCGCCGACACGGGAAGCAAAGAAGGTTTCATCGGCAAACATGGTCACACCACTTACTATGCCAGCACTCCACTCAAGAATGCTACTATGCTAGTGAACCAAATCACTGCGAACGGTCCTGTTCAGAGAAACAAAGCTATCAAAATCACTCTGCCCGAGCACACCCCCATTGTGTTCCGTCGGAAGAAGGTGTGTGGATGAAGGATAGTACCTGCGTTGGTATGCCTGCAAAGCACCGTTCTTCCATTGCACCTGATGGCAGAGGCCAATGTAAGCTCAAGGGTCGTGTTCCCGACATCACTAGCTACGAACTTGTAGCAAGCGCCACAGGCCTTGACACCTCCCGAAGATGTGCTGGAACACACGCACCAGCCGAAGATGAGTCTTCGGGCTTCCAGTAGAAAGTCGTTCAAAAGGACAGGCCGAGGTGGGAGAAGAGGTAAAGATCATCCACAGCGATCCTGAAATTAAAGAGGCAATCAATCAATGCTGCACCGCCAATCGCAATCAGAGCCAGGAACCTAGCCAAACCAGGTTGGGTGGAAGGCGCTGAAGCAACAAAGGTCGTTGTTGGCCACCAGCCGAAGGCCATGCGTCTCATGGCTCCTCGTCATCCAAGGTTCGTGACTTCGCTTGGAGTAAACTCGAGGATTTTGTTGACATCAGAAGTCTGAAGGCTAAAAACCAAAGGATTGAGGGATCGCCATTTCTTTCCATCGCCGCTTTCAAAAGACCCGACGACGATCCTTTTTTTGAGCCCGATAGTGACAGGGAAGAAGAGGATGGTAGGGAAATCTCGCAAGAAGCTCGGCTTGGCGCCGAGGCCGATAGCATGAATCATGAATCTTGCCATCGTCCAAAGAGCCCGTACTGCAAAGTCTTCCAAAAAGCAAAGATGTACTCTCCCCCAAGCTGGCACAACGGGGCGTTCATCAACCCTTAGCAGTAGCAGCACTAAGTACGGGGACCATGTCACCGCGGATCACATCATCACACGCGACGTGAACGATCACAGCTTTGAAGATCAAAGGGTCGCCTCGGTGGCCAAGGACGTCTTTAGCCAGTTTCGCTATGTCTTATGTCTACCCTAGCGAAGTTAAGAGCGCTGAACAGCGCCATGAAGATTTTTATTGCACTTCTCTCTTTGAATCAAGACATCGGGGTTATATACGCTGACAAGGCACCCGAACTTGCTGCCGCCGTCAAGAAACTCGAGTGTAGACATAATATTTTCAGGGAGTATGTCGACGAATCAGAAGCGGTCATTGAACGTGAAATTCGGAAGATACTTGAAGGTATCAGGTCTTTAACTTGGAACAGTCAATGTTCCCCGAGCAGTACTGGCCTTTGGCAGCCCAACATCATGCCATTGCGCTCAGCCTGACCAAGAGGTTTGACACTGGCCAGATCCCGTGGGCGGGCGGATTTCGGGGAGCATTTTCAGGGCTTGTCGTTCCCTTTGGGGTTAAGGTTCTGTACAGGCACAACCCGAAACAGAACGTGCTTGGGACTTTCAAGCTTTTGTCAACCGGAATTGAACGGATCTTTCTGGGATACCACATTCAGCCAGGATTCAGTTGGAAGAAGGAATACCTGGTTGCGCCAGTGAAGGATGCACACGACGCCATTGAGGATGGGACACTTAAGATCATCAGGGCTAAGCGTATTGAGCTTCTGGAGGGTGAATTTGTCTTCCTTCGTTTACCCGATCCGGTCCGGATTGCAGGTCAGGTCACGCCCCCCGTTTGGATGATCAGAACATTCATGGGTGAAGTCGCACGCCCGCCGGCCCGCCGCAAGGCGAGGCCGAGGAATCACCAGCAGCACCCAAGCCGAAGGAGCCGGCATCTGGATACTCAGGTTGTTTCGATCCCACGAAGTACTCGAATGGCACTCCGGTGCCTGGTGGTTACAACTGGGACGGGGTTACACTTGTGAGGAACAAGAAGGGTTCTAAAAGACCACCTGACGTCCCATCTGAGTTTTGGCACACGTATTCTGCCAAACCACTCAGGGAAGAAATTGAGAGATGGGAGAACAAGGTTGCGAGGGAAGAGGCCAGACACAAAGAAGAATCTGAGAAAGAAGCCCCCGCCATGCCTGTTCTCCTTGGACAAGAAGA